TCTCAAATTTGGATACACTTGGGAAGCATTATGAGGATCATGTTCTTGTTCGAAAAATCCTTCGAAGTCTCACACCGGAATGGAAGTCTACGGTCAACCCTATCAAAGAAGGCCGAGATTACAATACATTGACATATGACGCACTTCGAGGTAAACTACTCACTTATGAAATGTCTAACTTTTCTAGTGCAGCGGAGATCAAAAGGGAATAAAATCTATCATTCAAAGGAGTTGCACTCAAAGCTTCATCGTCAATATATGTCGAGACAAGCGGCTCTAGGGAAAGTGACATTCTCGAGTTATTTAATGACTTCTTGCAAAATGAGCTTGAGCAATTGAATGAGAGTACAAAGCCTACTTGCTATGGATGTGGAGAGCGTGGACATATCAAGGGTCATTGCCCTAATCGAAAATTCAAGAAGTCCAAACGCCAAAAGCAATCCAACTCTAGCTCCTCTTCCTCATCCGATGATGAAGTAGCCATTTGTCTTATGGCTCAAAGTGAATCCGAAGAGGTAAGTTCTTCTAACGGTCCTTTTAGTTTTGAAGAACTACAAGAAGCATTTGGTGATTTATTTAAAGAATTTAAGAAAGTCTCATCTATTGCCAAAGATTTGGAATATAAAATCAACCTTTTGCTAAAGAAAAATAATATTTTGCAAAAAGAAATTGATTTCTTCAAAATTGAAAATAAGACTTTTGAGGAGACTAATTTGAAATTAAATGATTCACCTTGTTCTTCATGTAAGTCTTCTAGTCTTGAAATAGAAGCGCTTAAGAAAGAGGTAGACGATTTGAAATTAGCTATGAAAAAAGTTGAAAATGAATTTGGACTAAAATCTACCTCTAGGATTAAATACTATAGATCACGTAGAAATAAACTAAGTCATTCTAGGATTTCTAAGTTTGATAGACAACCTAGAAAGCACATCACACGTCCTAGAAACATGAACAACCCTAGTGTTAGGTGTCATTATTGTAATAAAGTAGGACACATCACACCAGTTTGTTAAACTAAGTATAGGCACTTGCTTCTAAGTCAAGATAATGTGATGCATCGTTCATATGATTTTTATTATTGCAATAACACCTCTGGACCCAAAAGGCATTGGGTACCAAGATTTGCTTCGTAGATTCATTAAGGAAGGTGTGCTTGAACACTTCAACTTGAGTTGAAGTAGATGCGCCAAGCACATAACTGGGTGAAACATCAATTAAGGGGGAAGTTGATTCACTTTATTAATTCCAACTAATGTTGATTTATATTTTAGTTGGACAATGTGATATTATTTGTTTGTTTGATATCTATTTTCATGAGCATATATCTTTTTGCCCATCTCTTTTTGATAATGTCAAAAGGAGAAGATGGTGTCGATATGCATATATTCAGGGGGAATTGTATTTGTGCATATCTTAATGGGGAAGATAGTATAGATTTGTATGTCTTTGTTTGATTTATGATGCTATACTTGAGGGGGAACTAGCCTTGTATGATATATATCTCCTAATGGGTTTGTCATTATCAAAAAGGGGGAAATTGTTGGACAATGTGCTATCATGAATATGTATTTTTGCAATGTCCTTTGCCCATTGTCTTTTAGGTTTTGATAATGACAAAAGGGTGACAAAACATCATCATCATTTTGTGCATCAAGGCTAAGAATCAAAGCTACAACAAGTTCATATCCGTTCGTGAAGAAGGGACTTGAGCATCGGTGGAAGGACGAGATCGAAGAGGTTGTTTCCTTAGTTGGGTAGTGTTTTAGGTCTTAGATTATGTGTTAAAGAGTATGGCATCTCTAAGGTTCATTCCCTTATCATCTTACCTTTAAAACTCATTTTAGATCAGCCTTTGTATGGGGAAGTTGCCTTTCTATTTGAATAATCTTTAGTTTATTCGAATAAGTCGTGATCTTTCCTGTGACTGAAATTAACTTGTTTTATTCAAATAAATCACCATTTATTCGAGAAAGTCCTGACTTTTCACCCTGATTTATTCGAATAAATCACCATTTATTCGAATAGGAACTGGTTTTTCAAGTCACGTGATTGATCCAAACTATTCGAATAGTTCTTGGGTTATTGAATAAGTCGACAGTTTCAACTACCAAACGGCTAGTTTTTTGAATTCTTTTCATCTCTATCCACTCCCTAACTTCTATAAACAACCCTCTTCGTGATTATCTTCATAAGAACACTTAGAACACTTTGAAGAACATATCCTTTGAATATCCAAAGAGATTCTACTCAATCCCCTCCTTATATCCAAGCAAGGCAATTGTTTTGATTGCTAAATCATTTCTTGCTTGAGTTTTTCCTCATTGCTTGAGTCTTTGAGAGATATTGCCATATTCTAAAGGACTTCATTGTATTTGCAACAATCTACTCCGTGTTGGGAGAATTACTCGGTTGCGGTTTGTTTTCTTACTTTATTGTAAGGGATTTGTATTCT